CGTCTCGTCGTTGTGTCCTTGGGCAAGACACTTCACCCGTTGCCTACCGGTGGTGTTCAGGGGGCCTGGTGGCGCCAGTGTCCGGCAGCCTCTCCTCTGTCAGTGCGCCCCAGGGCGGCTACAATGTAGCTTGCCATCACCAGTGAATGAATGAGTGGATGACTGAATGTGTAAAGCTCTTTGGGGTCCTTAGGGATGAGTAAAGCGCTATATAAATACAGGCCATTTACCATTTTTTTCATTTAGACATACTATATTAGTACAATTGATCTAAATTCTGACAAAAAATGTAAAATCTGAGTAGAAATAAATTATAATTGGGAATACAGAAATGAACTAAACAGGCAGGCGAGCAGACGGAACACAGAGTTAAGGTGAGGGTACGACGCGACAATGAGTAGGGGGAGATGCAGACACTAAATACAAGAGGTGAACGGAGCGAAGAGGAAGCAGCTGGGAGACACGGCTGACACAGATGACAAAACAGGGAGAGCACAAAGCTGAACGCACTGACATAAGACACAGGCCTACAAAATAAAACAGGAAGCACACGACAGACACAGAGACCTAGACGAGACACAGAACTTAACAGACGCAGACTCATAAGCAGACATAATGACAACATGGACAGACAGGGGAAACACGGAAGTTAGGACCAGGGCAGGCACAGAGCAGAAACCTAACAAATGGCGAATCATAATGGAATATCTAATCAGAATAAACAATAGCATAAAGAAACACAAAACACTGAGTCGACAGCCTCAGGACCATGACAATAGCATTCATTAGTAGGGTTGGGAAAACTTCTGTTTACGTTTGTTATCCTTTTGTCCATGTAAATTATTTGATTCTGTCGCCGACCAAAACCCTTTTAAATTAAAAAAAAAAACATTTGTGCTTTGGGGCAAATTTTTTGTGTGGTTAATCAAGATTAATTAATTACAAAGTATCTAATTAATTTGATACATTTTTTTTATGTATCTAATTAATTCGATACATTAACCCACCCCTAATAAATACACATGTGGGTGACAAGGGAAAAGGAAACACACGGAAAACACAGCTAGGACGAATAAACATAATGACAAGACAGGAAGAATCAAACTGAACACATTGAATATAAAACAAGTCTGTGAAAGTGCAACAGGAAACGCACAGACGAAGACGCATGGACTTGACATGATGATAGGAAAATAGAAAGTGGACATGAGACACAGACATAACTAAGCAATAAATACAGAGGGCACGATGTTTAGGGAGAACACACAATAGGACACTGGTTTACATGTTTCCCACATGTAAACTAGAGGAGGAGACGAGACACAAAGGGAGGGAGACTTAGGCTACGTTCACACTGCAGGTGAAAGCGCACCAAATCTGACTTTTCTGACCCTATGCGACCCATACCCGATCATGGTATGACAGTGTGAACAGCAAAAATCCGATATTTTCAAATCCGATCGTGAACATTTGTACTGTATAAATCTGCAGATTCTGACAGAAATCTGCAACTATCCTTTGAAGCACCACTCCTCTCTAAAACAGTAATAAGGATAATTATTAGGCCATATGTAAATAACAAAATAACTTTATAACTTAAAGCAAAATTGGGAAACATAAAGTCCGAAACAAGAGACATCAGTCAAACAATACTGTTTGCTCTGGGTCTAAACAGAGCGCGTTGTGTGTGATGTCTTCTTTTGCGCATGCCGGCCGCTTTGAGGGTTCACACTAGAGCGCGTTTGCTGTCGCATTTTATTTGTGGTGTGAACAAGCAGACAAAAAAAATTGGACTTGATCAAAAACACAGGGGACTTGACAGACTCGCATACTGAAGACACCATAACCAACATAGTAGGGAAGACAAAGACATGGGAGGAACCTAGACAGACAAGAACTAAATAGGAAAACAGAGAACTCTGACAGAACTAACAAAAGCCAAATTATACAAACTAGAACATAATATTACAAAAAGGCATGAAATGCATGAAACATACAATGTGAACCATGTCACTTTTTAGTTTACCACTCCAGCTCAGTTTAGATGTGGAGTCTTTTAAAAAAAGTAAAAAACTTTCCTGGTCAATCAGGCCTTCTGCTGATATTCCTTTATTTATTTTTTTTTTTTACCTTAAATTCTGTTTTTAACATCTTTCTTTGTTGATATTGTGTTGTAAATGTTGTTCAGGCTTTGTGACTGTTATGTCTCTGAAAAGTTCTGTTCTGTAGTTCTGTTGATATACTGTAGCTCATTTGCAGATATGGCAATTTTGGCAATATGCAGATTTGTTTATCACTCGGAGATCTGCTGACCCCCTATACATTGTTCTTTTTCTTTCAGTGTGGGAAGTATTGTGGTTTTACAGGACGTAAGGCTTTTACTTTCATAGATGCTCAAAAAAACCCCATTGCATTTCAGGCAACATAAAAAATGCAACAAAAAATGTTGCAAAAATATAAAAGCTATCATGAGAGCATATTTCTCTTATATTTGCTTCCCTTCATTGGCTTCCTGTTAAATCCACAATTGAATTAAAAATCCTGCTCCTCACATACAAGGTCTTAAATAATCAGGCCCCATCTTATCTTAATGACCTCATAGTACCATAATACACTATTAGAGAACTTCACACTCGCACTGCAGGCTTACTTGTTGTTCCTACACTGTGAGAAAAAGTCCTAATATAAAAGTATTTTACTGTGTATTTTACAGTTTTGTTCTGTTCTTCTAGATTATCATTAAATTTACATAAATAGACTGTGATTTCACATTTCAAATGTAAATTAACGTAAAATCACTGTAATGTAATAAAACATAATTTCCTTGTTTTTTAAATGTATTTGTCTGTACATGTGCATATTTAGATTGTTAAAATACTTTCACAAATGTATCATGATTGCACAAATATTTGTCCGTTATGTGAAGGATTGAACTGTTAAATTCAAATGTTATGCTATGGAAAAATATATAACATGATTCCTATACACTTTGTTGACATCAAATAATTATTACTATTATTGCTATTTAGGGCGATTGTGGCTCGAGAGTTAGCAGTTCGCCTTGTAATCAGAAGGTTGCCGGTTCGAGTCCCGGCTGAGACACTCTTGGTCGTTGTGTCCTTGGTCAAGACACTACTAGACCTACTGGTGATGGCCAGAGGGGCTGATGGCGTGATATGGCAGCCTCGCCTCTGTCCCAGGGCATGCAATCCATTATTATTTAAACCAACTGTTAACTGTATATTTCTGTACATTTAAGTATTAT